GGTGTCCCACCCCTATGAATTCACCTAAACCTAAAATTAAAAAAGAAAATCCCAAAGCCCCAGAGCACCCACATTCACATTGATTTAGGGCCTCAAGGAAGCAGCCCCCCGAAACACTGGGACCATGGTCAGGGGCTGGGTTCAGTGGTAGAGCGCTCACGTAGCATGTGCCAGGCCCTGGGTTTGATCCTCAGCACCACGTAAAAATAAATAAATAAAATAAAGGTATTAAAAAAAAATTTTTTTTTAAAACCACGGTCAGCAGCTGGCTGTGATTCAAGCTGAGGCAGGGGGTTCACAAGTTCGAGGCCAGATTTAGCAACTTAGGGAGACCCTGTCTCAATATTTAAAAATAAATCAAAGGGCCTGGGGATGTGGCCCAGGTGCCCGGGCTTCCATCCCTAGTACCAAAAAAACTAAGACAGAAGCAAAGACCAAGGTCGTCTGTCCTCTTGGGTCTGAGTGTGAGGGGACGTGGTGGGGCCCACCCTGGAACTTTGACCCAACCATGAACTCCACTGGGCCTCAGTTTCCCCACCAAGTGTAACCCACAAGATGGGAACTGGATCCAACCACCCAAGATTCATTTTTTTCCATATTTAAAAAAAAGGTGAATGCAACATTTTTTAAAAATGAAGAGACTTCATATAAAAACTCAAAAAGCTCTGACCCTCTGTGAGCAGTGGGCAGCCCTGCGGGGCTGGGCCGCCTTCCTGCCTGGCAGCCCTGGGTCCGCTGAGTGGCTGCTGCCCCCCACCCCTGCACCCGGCATTCGCTCTCTGGTTTGCCCCAGTTCCCAGCCCTCCCTGTGGCCTCTGCTGAGCCTGCGCACGGGCCCTGGGCGGGGCCTTCCTACCTGGGTATTGGGTTGCCGGGTGCAGGGGGGTACTGGGGATTGAACCCAGGGGCACTCGACCCCTGAGCCCCATCCCCAGCCCTATTTTGTACTTTATTTAGAGTCAGAGTCTCCCTGAGTTGCTTAGGGCCTCGCTGTTGCTGAGGCTGGCTTTAAACTGGCGATCCTCCTGCCTCAGCCTCCCCAGCCGCTGGGATGACAGGTGTGCGCCACTGCGCCCCGGCCACTTTGGGTGTTTGAGTTTACAAAGCTCCTTCCTAGGGACAGTAGGAACTGGAAGGTTTAGTTCTCTGCCCACCCTGGCCTGTCACCCTCTTTTCTGCCTTTAGGGCAGTGGGTGCGGCCGGCTGGCTCCCCTACATCCCGCCCCTGCCTCCCTCTCCGTAGTGGGCCACCACCATCCTGGACATCGAGCGCTCCTTCCCCGTGTTCCTGAGGAAGGCCTTCCGCTCCGGGGAGATGGTGACCGTGGGCAAGAGCTCCGATGGCACTCCGGACCGCAGGTGGTGCTTCAGGTGAGGCAGCGTGCGCGGGAGAGCCCAGTGGTGGAGGCTCCCACAGCCTCTTCCCCCATTGAGACCTTGGAGCCTCAGAGGCCCTGCTCAGCGCCCCCCGAGGGTCCCACCCCGTGAACTTGGGCAAACTGGTTGGCTTCCCTTGGCCTCCGATTCTTATCTGTGGATTGGGGACCGTGATGGTGCCCCCTCCCTGGCCAGCTGTGCAGCCTGTGAGAGGTGCTGGTCAGCATCAGACGCCGACAGCACCTCTGACCCTCGTGGGGACAGGACAGCAGAGACCCGCCCGAGTCTCACCTCAGGGCATCGTCCCCAATCCACAAACAACCAGGGGACTTCAGCGCCAAGGCTTAGTGGGGAAACCCAGGAGTGGGCATCCTCCAGGGCTTGGGACCTCACCCCATCCACGTGGAGAGCGAGTCCCTACTCCAGGTGACGGAGGAAGCCGGCTTCCTCGGGGAGGCCCCCCCCCATGGTATTTTCTTCTAAAATGACTCATTCCTTGGTGACTGACAGCAGAGAAGATAAGGGCGATATTTGGAATCAGGCAGAGTCAGTTTCCTCATCTGTGATATGGGGACAGTGGCAACAACCTCCTAAATCAGCTGCTCAGTTCTGCTGACGCTGAACCCAAAGTTCAAATCCTGACCCTTTAACTTACCAGCTTTGTGACCTTGCAGAAGCCGCCCAAACTGCCTCCAGTTCCTCATCGGTAAAACAGGAGGAACCAGAAATGCATCTTCTTTGCCAAGTTCTGACATGTGGCAGTTGCTCAAAAAAAAAAAAAAGAGAGATTGTATGAGAAATAATTTTTAAAATGATGTTAAAAAAATTATATTGGGTTAATTTGACCCAAGAGGTTGTAATCTGACTTTACCAGAGTTTTCCAATAAGAAGTAAAAATATCAAGTAGCATGTCTATCTATGAATGAATGAATGAACAAAATGTGGTACGTCCACACACTGGAATATTATTTGGCCTTCAAAAAGAATGAAGTTCAAATACCTGCTACAGCATGAATGTGTCTGGAAAACATAATGCCAGATAAAAGAGGCCAGACACAAAAGGCCACAGGTTGTATGATGGTGCTTGTAAGAAGCTTCCAGAGGAGGCAAACACTGTAAAACAGAAAGCAGATTAGGTAGGAAGGCCCCGCCCAAGGCCCCCCGTGCATGCTCAGCAGAGGCCACAGAGAGAGCTGGGAACTGGGGCAAACCAGAGAGCGAATGCAGGGTGCTGGGGTGGGGGGCAGCAGCCGTTCAGCAGGCCCAGGGCTTCCAGGGGCTCGGGGAGGGGTCACGGGGAGTTACTGCTGACTAGGCAGAGAGCTTCTGTTTAGAGCAATGGGAAGGTTTTGGAAGTAGGTAGGAGTGCTGGTGCCACAGCATCGGGAATGGACCCAATTGTGGAACCCGGTTAGGTATGTGTTTGACCACAGTAGGAAAAACAGGAGGAGGGTGTGCTGGCAAGTCTGGGGCGGGGTCTCCCCAACCCTCTTCTTCGGCCCCACCAGGGTGGACGAGGTGAACTGGTCTCACTGGAACCAGAACTTGGGCATCATCAATGAGGATCCAGGCAAGAGCGAGACCTACCAGTACTACGGCTTCTCGCACACTGTGGGCCGCCTCCGCAGGGGTGAGCAAGGCCGGGGAGCCCAGGGACCGCCAGGCTTGTCACCTGTGTGCCCAGAGGGCCCTGTCCCCAGCTTGGACTCACGGTCCAAAGGATGGGGCTGTGGGATGGGCTGGCAGTGGGTTTCTTCTGCTGCTTTGTGGATGCCTGGGGCACCCGGTCTTTGTGGCTTCATCCTGGCCCTCCCTACACCCAGATACAAACTGGCCTGGGAGGCAGGATGAGCCCCTGGGCCAGCCCCAGGGTGGAGAACCCTTGTTTTCCACTAAATCTGGAGTTTGGGCACTTGGCGTTCTGACCTGGACTTGGAGCTTGGTTCCTCTTTGCATTCCTGTGCAATCCTCCATTACAGCCTTGACCTCTCTGAGCCTCAGTTTCTACCTCCTATAAGATGGGCATAATAATTCCCCCATGGGATCTGGAGCGCCCAGTTGACGTAGGTGCTCAGTACACGTGCTGAGCCCCACCGAACTCACGCCGCTCCCTGTCTGTGCCTCCTGCCCAGATCGCTGGTCCTCGGTGGTGCCCCGCGTGGTGGAGCTGAACAAGAATTCGAGCCCGGATGAGGTGGCGGTGCCTCTGGACAACCTGGGGAACCCCAGCTGCGACAGCCACCAGCAGAGTTATCCCCCCAAGTGGAGGACTGACGATGCACCTCTCTAGGGGCCGCGGGCGGGATTGGGGTCTCCCGCCTGCAGCCTGATCCCGCCCTTCACCTGCCTTGTCCACCTGCATTTCAGCTCCTCCCAGGTGTCCCCACACCCTCCCGTGACCCCTAGAGGCGAGGGCTGATGGAGATGCTGGGAGGCCCCAGGCCCTTCTGGTCCCCAGGCTCCTGTCCCCGCTCCGCCTGCCCCTGGGGACGGGCTCCTGGCCGCCTGTCTCACTCCCATGGAGTCACCTCCACCCAGAGGGGCAGACCTGTCCCCCTCTCCATTATTTATTGCTGTCCTCTCAGGAAAGCCATGTGCCACCCACCCCCCAACCCTGTCCTGCACGCGGAACCCTGAGGCCTCAGCACCTGGCTGCAGGTGCACTGCCGGCCACGCCCCCGGCCACGCCCCCGGCCGCACCCTCCTCGCACCAGCACCTACCGCGGGGGGTCGGGCCCTGGGGTGGGCCGAGCCCTCTGTGTGTTCTAGGGTCTGGGATTTGTTGGTGCTCAATAAACATCCACTCACTGATGGTGGAGATGGCGGGGCCAGTGGTGGGCGTGGGGCGACGGTGACCGGCCTGGGGGTGACACTAGGGAGGCAGGAGAGTAGATACTGCCCGTGCTGGAAGGATCAGGTGGCATTAGGTATCAGTGGGCTGGGGACGGACCGGCCATGGTGGTGGTGGTGGCCGTGATGACCTGAGAGATGGGGGTGACTGAGTGGTGGTTGGGAAGCTAGGGACAGAGGTACCGAGCTCCAGGGGAAGGAACCAGCCTCCCCCAGGGCCCCGCCCTCATCTCCCTGCCCGGGGCGGCCGGAGCCCCAGGCTCTCCTCCAGGGCACAGTGTTCCGTGGCCAGAGCATTGGGATGGCCCCCTGGCCCCTCCTCCCCAGACCACGGGGAGCCCGGACCATGGTGACAGTGGTAGGTCATGCTCGGGAGGTGACAGACGAGTGGTTTTCTCTCGGGTCAGGCTTCAGGAAGGATCCAGGTAGGGACCCCTGGGCTCTGAGTCGGGGGAGCTTGGAAGGACCCTGGGACAGAAAGGAGATTTCATGGCCGGGCCTGGGGCACACACCTGTCATCCCAGCCGCTCAGGAGGCTGAGGCAGGAGGATCGCAAGTTCAAAGCCAGCCTCAGCAACTTAGTGAGGCCCTAAGCAACTCGGTGAGACCCTGTCTCTAAATAAAGTACAAAATAGGGCTGGGGATGGGGCTCAGTGGTTCAATCCTCAGTTACCTGCCCCTTCCCTAAAAGAACTCCAGTTTCCTTCTTCCTCAACCCCTGGGAGGGGGAAACAGTCTCCTACCTGAGTTGCTGGTGCTGGACCCTGGCCCTGGGTTGGTCAGAAGACAAGATGGCAGCCTGGGTCTTCCCTGGAAGGTGGATGCTAGAGATGAGGGGACGGGATTTCCCTCACACTGGCTTCCCTTGGGGACACAAGGTGGTGCCCCAAATCCGGGCATCATGTCCAGATCCAATTACCTCCACAGGAAGAAGGGGAGCTGGCTCCTCCTTTCTCTCTTTTTATAGAGAAGGAAACTTTCCCCTAAAGTTCTCCCCTCTCCTATTGTTGGCCAGAATTTGTCATCTCTTTCATGCTCCAGCCAATTGCCAGACAGGAAGTAGCAATTGGCCTAAAGAAGCAGATGGCAATATGGAGGAAGGAGGTGACCCTGGACAGGCCGAGCTCTGTGATGCAGGAGAATGCCCAGATGGCCTGGCCAACCAGTAGTGTCTGCTGTGGTCTCTTTCCAAATGGCCTCCAGAGGGGTGGGGCGCCCTCACTGTCACCCAGAAGGTCTGAGGCTCGTTGTGGAGCCATCAATAGGTTACTTTTTTAGGGGCCCGTGGCCTGGGCCTACCCCCAGGGTCAAAAGCCCTCCCCACCCCGGGATACAGTGACTCCTTCAGTGCGTAATTTGTGTTTTACAATGAAATAATGTGGGCTATGAATTTTCCTATGAATACACTTTTAGCCACATATTAACTTTTTCAAATTAAAAAAATCCGAGGGTTTTAGTCTTAATCATCTCTGACTCAATAGCTGTTTAAGAGAATTTAAAAGTTTTCAAGTCTTTGAGATTTAAGTCCAGTAAGATCTTTAAGATGCCCTTTCCCATTGTGGACATGTACTGGTTATATGCCAAAATATCTTCAGGTGACACATTGTTCCAAAATTGCATTTTAAAACCTTTTTTTTTTTTCCAATTATCCGTGTCTCCCGATTATGTCAAGGTCTCAGTTTGGTACTTCTGGGTTTTATTTTAAATTATCTCTGTTTTAAATAGTGAAAGATCTTTTGGCTTTGAACTTCTGGAAGAACAGAGTAGTTTAAAACATTTGAATTTCTTTTTCTTTTCAGTTATAAGACCTGTTTGAAGCAAGCTATGTTTCTCGAGATTAATAGTGCCCTCAAGTAAAAAAAAAAAAAATTTTTTTTAATGGAGAGGGGTCCCAGGGATTGAAGCCAGGGCACTCAACCACTGAGCCCCATCCCCAGCCCTATTTCGTATTTTATTTAGAGACAGGGTCTCACTGAGTTGCTTAGGGCCTCACTTTTGCTGAGGCTGGCTTTGAACTGTCCTCCTGCCTTAGCCTCCCAAGTCACTGGATGACAGGCATGTGCCACTACGCCTCACTCAGTCAGTCTTTTGAATAATCCTGGCAGGTAGGGAATAAGAGGTTTCATTCCCTCTGTGAACAAGTCACAGAGAGGTGCAATGACCCATTCAGGGTCACACAGCTACCTAATGAATGCAGATTTGAGTCCAGGTGTGGACTCCTCTCCTCCTCCATGACTTCTCACCATTGTCTTCTTCTTAATTGCTCACTCATGTATTTTCTAATAGCTGATAAAAACCCACTTGCACTACATGAACACCTCAGGTGTCTCAGGCTTGACCTTAGTGCTTCTACATATATAACCTCATTGAAGCCAGAGTGACACTATAAAGTTGGAACTCTTAAATACAGCCTCTATCCCTGCCCACAGGCATTAGTCAGTCATTTTGTTTTGTTTTGTTTTGTTTTTGCATTTGACAAGGAATCTGAATACAAATTAGGTCTCATTAAGGAGAACATTAAGGCATGTGTAGCTTCAGGTATGGTTGGATCCAGGGGCTTGAATGAGGTCACAGGACTAATTCATCACCTGTGTCTATTTCTTCCTTGGTCAGCTTTGTTCTCTGCCTCTTCCGGGACCAGCTGGGGTTCCGTGTTTACTTTCTGTGTGTATGTGTGGGTGCCGAGGACTGGACTCTGTTTCGAGAGTGCTTGCCAGCCACATCCCCTGCCCACGTGTCTATTCTGAACCAGTCACTGTTTCCCAGGAAGCAGAATCTGGTTTGGTCAGACTTGAGTTACTGGGTCAGAGCTGGGGTGGGACTGGCTTTTCCTATCCTGCAGGCACAGAAAGCAGCCGGACGATGCTCCCTAAGGAAAGTTGAAATGGTACTAACCGCTCTAGGTGCCATCAGTAGCCCCAGCCCCCCACTCCTCTTTTCACTCCCACCCCTAAAAGTCCCACCTGGGTGCTGCCCTCTCGCTGGGTCCCAGCCTAGTCTCCCGCACCTGCGCTTCATCATGTGACCTGTGTGACTATTGGGATGTTAGCGGACATCAGAGCAGTGAACCCCCCTCTGGGACATCCCACTGGTAATTGACACTGGCGGGATTCGAGCCCCGGCATGCTGGGGAGGTGAGGGGTGACAGGTGATGGCCCTGTCACTTCTGTGGCAAAGACCCTGGCTGTCACCTGCCACCTTTTCCCCCAGTCCCTGCCAGCTTGTCTTCTGTGCCCTTTGCCTTTGAATGCGCTGCCTTC